GATGTGACGTCATCATAAGGTCATCACATCACATGTAACATCAAAATTCAAAGCCCTATGGGAATGTAATCATATATTATACCCACCGGTTATTATCAACAGAACTACACATCCTTCCTGGATGGAACTTATACTTGAAACTTTACATGTCACACGTCACAAAAAAATACCGAAACAGCCCTGTGTTTGTCCACAAACATAGGTCTAGTTTTTAATTGCTTTTGCGGTCATTACGCATACTAAGTGAATTATTGTTCGGCTGCAAATATTTGCATTTGGTAAATTAAATAAAGATGACTCGTTGAAAAGTAATTTTGTTTTGTATTGCTAAAAAAAAAGGCATTTAAAAAAGGACTAAGTATTTATTCTTTGGATGAAACTTTGAAACAGCACACGGGGCCAGGGAGATCGAGAGCAACTTGAGTTGTATAAGATAAACGTATTAGGCCTGATGTACATTTCACTAATTTTACAATGCGAAGGTCAAATAAAAGGACTGCATGCACACATTATTTCCAATAAATAAGTTCTATAGAATGCGGAAATCAGAAGCCATGGATAGTACATTTTCCATATCAGTCGGTGCTTAATTATATAAAAAATCGAACTCATACAAGTAAATTTAGATCGTTCTGGGGGATGGGACGTTTCCTGGAAATACGATCATTTTTTACAGTCTTTGTGCTTGATGAATATCGAAGGGTGTCATGTTCAAATATTTCCCAAGGGCCAAGAAACTTGAGATATTAAGCAATTGTCATTCCGATTTCAGCAACTTGATTTTGTTTTGTTAAAATTCAGCAAACGCTGTGTGGAAAAAAAATTCGCCGCCAATCAGAAAGAAATCCTTGGAATATAATCAGGAATGTAGCGCCTTGCTCCTGGTGGAGCATTGATAGCTTGCTGGTTAGGCGAACTCCACGTACGATAGTTACGTGTACTTCGCGAACTCAACAGCTGTAAAAATTAGCATAGAGTTAGCATAACAAAGGCGCATTTTCATGCAATGCAAATAAACCTGCAGAGCTCGCTGTTGGCTGGTAACTAAGGTTCAAAATTAGTTCGCGAACTTCATGACCTCTCGAACAGTCAATATTGAAGGCTGCCCTTAGTATGGCATGCGGTAGCAGCAAAAACACGTGCAGGCATGTTCCGTTACAGCGGGCCGTCTGATATTGTCTGGGTCGCATCGCAGTGTGGGCTATAACACAAACATTAATGACACCAAACTTTTGGTTTGATGATGACACAGATTAGGGTGCCTGTCGTCAATTATCATGAAGCTGACATTATTTTGGCAACAATGATCTCCAATGATGGATTTTAATTGAAAAATAAAAAAAGAGCTGTACTTTTTTACCCAAAACCACACTAAAAGGTAGTTCATAGTTTTAGGTTTATTAAACCTACAGCGTGTGATTTAAATGTCTATAAACAGTGGTGTAAAGCAGGCGGGGTGATAGCACGCCTACTACCTCCCATTTGAGGCCTGTTCGGCTCTTCTTGTGAAATGACTACCTAAAATCCATAATTTTATGCAAAATACCAGTTAAAAAGAATACAAAATCATATTGCATCTCCAGAAAAACCCAAACAACTTGAATACAGGGGAAAAACCCTTAATTCTGACTTAACTTAAATAAAAATGGAGAATGTAAGTTGTGAACACCAAAAGGAAAGCTTACTGATCATAGGCGTAGCCAGCGGGGGGTAAGGGGGGTATTTACCCCCCCCCCAATAATTTGTAAAGACTGCCTTTTTCCATTCAAATGCCCTTTTGTCAACGGGCTTACCCCCCCCCCCCAATAATTTGTAAAGAGTGCCCTTTTTTTACGAAGTGCCCTTTTTTTCTGAACAAGTGCCCTTTTCAAAATGAAGTGGTGCCTTTTTTTGTGGCATCTGCCGTTTTGGGTGCCTTTTGCAGAATTTCGCACATGTATCTCCCTGAAAAGCACCATATAGTGGCCCTTTGTGTGCATAATTGTTGGTTTTGAACAGCGCCCCCATCGACAGATGGTACCGCCCCCCCCACCCCACTTTTTGATTTTACGGAGGCCAAGTGTCCAGAGAAAAAAACCTGTCTACATTTCACAACGGATGTGCAAATGCCCTTTTAAAATTTTTTACCTCCCAATAAAAATGACTTTGCTACGCCCCTGCTGATTGGGTTGAAAGGAAATAACTAAATAGTCCTTCCGAATATAGCAATTGTAAATAATAAAGCAAATGAATTTTATACGCTAGCGTATGATGTGACATTTAAAATGTATGTTTGTTTTTTTAACTTGCCGATGAAAAGTGTATGGCTGTAAAAATAGGGTTGGTCAGGTTAATGGAAGCAGAAGCTGTTTTATTTTTGTTTGCCTTATCCCAATTCATAAATACCTTTTCAAAAAAAAGAATTCAACAAATCAAAGAGTAGACGAATGTCAAATGATTTTTTTCTACCTTTTTACATTGCTGTCGTTGTTTGGGCCATTCTGTGGTGCTTGCAGTGCACACAGTGACTCAAAAAGTAACTGTGCTGCAACCAAGTGCTTGAGAACCACAGTTGTGATAAAAGCGATGTTGAGAACATCAGCATACAGTGCAATTCCTCATAAATGATCTACAGTGAATCAACACAAGAAATTTACGAGATTTTCATTGAAGAAGAAAAAACATCTTCAAAAAGATGACAAAATGAAGAGATGAATAAAGAAATAAGCTGGAGAATGTGGAGATTCGTGTTTGTTGAGTTTCAAATGCTAGGTGATCGGGCTGATCATTTACCAGTTTTATTTTTTATGTCAGAACAGAAGAATGATCATGAAATTAAACTTTTCCAGTCAAACCATTTGTTTTAATTGAAAAAAAATCAACTTTCATGGTATGATAATATCAGTACATACGTATGCTTTATTTTTTTAGTTTGATGAAGTCAACAGTTAAAATGTGCAAACTGAATGCTGATTTCGTTTAGAGAGGATACATCATGATATGAAAAAAAACTTCTAAAAATATGGAAATTTAAATGAATGTTTAAGTGTAAATGTATGTATTAAGAACACCCAACTTCCAGTTTGTTGACGTTACAGCATTTTGAAACCCAAGGTCAAAGTTGTACTGGGTATCGTTATTTGGTGGTGTGAATACGACACGGATCAAATGGCAAATTTGAATTTTTAAAGGAAAAAAAAAAACTGATCATTAACAATAAGTTCCATTCTGATGACGTCATGATTCTTTAACCTTGCAAAGTCACTGGCAGTTGTCTAAAGATATAAACATGTACATGTACATATAAGAGCAATTAAAAAAGAAAATCAACAAATGAATCAAATTCAAGCAAGTTCAACTTTATTTGATGTGCCGCTAGAGGCGTCCTTTCGGGTGATGGGGTCATCACATCATTTTTTGTGTGTTAGGCTTTCCTCACTCAACACATAGAAAAATTTTTTTTTTTCCCAAGTTGTATTCAGTTTTCAATGCACTTCCAGTTACACCGGAGGTAAAGGTCAAACAGCCTTATGCCTGGGAATACAAAATATTGCCTGAGGCAATGTCTAACTGATCACAAATCCATTCATTTGAAAAGTTATGGCTCAGAGTAATTATTCACATCGTGACTTCAATTTGATACATGATGACATCGTTATGATGTCACAATTTGTTTCACAAACCTTAGGTTAAGAAAGTCAAAGCTGAAGTATGTTGTCCATGTAAAGACTGCAGACTTTTTTAACTTCATAAACTTTGAGAATATTTTCCAAAATGAAACAAGGAAGTTTCAAATTACATGTAACTGTTTAAAAATATAGTTGGCTGCACTAAATATTTGGAATACAAATTTGGCAAATATATAGACTTGGTGCCAAGTCAGTAATTGTTTTGCGTACATACGGTACCGGTTACTGGCTCCACGCATGCAAAATATAGCTGCAATGCGCGTAGTCTGGTTCCCAGACCAAATGATGCTGACTATTGATGTTCAGTAAGTCGGTAATTGTTTTGTGTTCATACACTACCGGTTACTGGCACAGGTGGCTTGTGCATAAAGCGCTCGCCTCTCACCAAGGTGACCACGGTTTGAATCCTGGCCGTGGATCACATGTGAGTAGAGTTGTGCGTTGGTTCTCTCCTGTGCCACGAGAGTTTTTCTCCGGGCCCTCCGGTTTTCCTCCCTCCAGAAAAAACAAACACTTTCGATCTCAGGCTGTGCTCCATGGTCATATATGGGTCGATGTTGCCGCGTCCTTCGCAATTCAGCATACCTGCTGCGAGTAAGGATGATTAGCCTCCCAAATTATTATTATTACACACACAAAATATAGCTGCACTGTGCGTAGTATGGTTCCCAGACCAAATGATGCTGACTATTGATGTCCAATTACCGACTTGGCGAATCCTTTTTCAATTTTGTACACAACATATGGGAGTATTTTGAATCGCTAGCGAGCACTCTGATTGGTTCAGATTCCAGAGCGTATTCTAGGCCGCCATGGAAGATCGTTCTCATTACTTCGAGGGTTTGTACTTTGTGTTGTGTAACACTACAAAAACCACTTTAGGGCATACAAGACTTAAAAGTTAAAGAAATCAACTATATGACAATGATACATTTTATTTCAATACACAATTTAGCTAGCTGACTGTTTTGTTCGTTAAAATGTCGCCAGATCTGCAAACATGTCCCCGATGTATTGAGAAGAACTTCCCATGTATCCGGAATGAATGAGTCCTCATTTGCATAGCGGTGCGCCATTGGATCTCATTGCAAACATGCACTGTATATGTATGTATTGTGCTGCTTGCATATATGAATAACGGTGCGAGAACGTAATCATCAATTCGTTAGAAATGTCGCAACCTGGCCGATTATGTACTAGTCTTATACCAGCTGCACGGATGGAGTTTGACTGAAGTTCACGGACAAAATACGACTATCTAACAACTTGTCATCAAGTCTAGCAAATATATGGCACATAATTTAAAGTTTGTCTTTTCTTAAATATTTTCAGGAACGCCTTTCTAGCAGGACAAGAGGTCGGAGTCTTCTGAAGCACTTTTCTCGACAGCGATCACAAGGAAAAGAGTCTTCCATTGAAAGTGAAGGTGATCACCAAGAATCCATGCAGACAATCCGACCTAAGTCTAGTGGTACATGTACCTCATATTCTGTGGAAAGTGAATGGGATAGAAGTGATGAACTTCTGGATCTTATGCTTGCGCAAGGGAAAATCTCCAACGAGGATCATAAAGAGTTACTTCACAAATTCGCCACAGTGAAGAATTACAAGAATGGTGATGCACAGCGGATGATTCTTGGTAATCTTGTGAAGGTAAGCCTGAAACCACATTGTCTTGAAATAACATGTGTGTCTTTGTCAGTTAACTTTTTCAGAGGTCTGGGTCAAGGGAACCATACGTGATCATAATTATAGAATAATGTTGTGAAAAGGTCTTTGTGGTGCATATGCTTTTGTTCCACAGGGATACACACATTGTTAATGCATTAAAACAAGACCAAAACCCCACACTCCTTAATGATGGCTGATAAATGCACATTTCTATAAAGAAAGTCTTTTATGATCTTGGCTATTAAATCAACAACATTAATGTGGAAAGAGAAATCATTTATTGCCAAACAGTTCAATATCACAGATAAAAGAATAATGCCAGAAGACTGCGAAAATTAAACAATTTTCTTTGTATTAAGTTTGCAAATGTCATGTTTCTTGGTTATAATGAAATCATTGGCGACAAAAACCTACATGAATGTAACTGAAGAGAAAAATTCATCTTCATCCGCAACATTTATTTTTTCAATTGATGTCTCATTCAAAAAAACAAATTCAAATCTGTAACATTTGATTTGATATTGATTATCAAAGATTAAATATAGGAATCTTTATTTGCTTGTAATATGATACTTGATGATGTCATTGTTACGTCATTACCAGAAAGCGCAATAGGTTTGTTAACTGTGCTATAACAAAATCTTGATTATATCTATCAAGGTTGATTTTTTTGCAATTTTGTAAGGTTTAAAGGTCGTTTCATGCAACTTCCAGTCTGACGATGTAATCAATTTTTTTCGCGCACAGGTCTTGTCTGCATTAAGTTTATCAGGTATATTAAGTTTGAAGCGATTACCACAAATTCCGCCACAGACGTCAACTTAAAATGCATTTTGGACATTTTTAACCTGCGGCTAGAGGGCGCTTGAACACTTCCTGACATCACCGATCATTTTTTGGGAAAGGTCAACCAAGCCAGACACTAACATCTTTGAATTGATGACTGGTTCCCGCGGCGCTGCACACAAAAGGGCCAAAGAAGGCCCAATGGAAATGCGGTTACCAGTCAATGCATATTGCCGCGATGCACTGCAGTAGCAAGTCGGATTAGACATCGTAAAAATGCTCAGAAAACACTGATGGAAAAAGAACATTTTTGCAAGTTTATTCACAGAACTTGATCTCCCTTGTGTGTGTATGTATATTTTGTGTTCAGGAATTTATTTTGAACGATATGATGCGGTTTGATTCCCCGAAATTTCCTACCGTAAAAACAAGTTTCTTTCCCCGCTCAGTGCATCACACACGCTTATACCGCGTGATGTACGGCCAGTTTCCTGTCACGATAGTGTTGTGCATATGGTCGCACGACCTGAATTTTCCAGTACCGTGAATTTCGGAATATAAGCCGCGCGGAATATAAGCCACAGCAGGCAAAAAACTGCAAATTATATTATAAGCGAATGACAACATTTTCCCGCAGAACGTATGAGAATAATTCAACCCACCGTGTGTTGTCTGACTGGAGCGCTACAAATCTTGCTTTGTGGCAACAGATGCTGATTTGTTTTGTCCTAAGAATAAACAGGTCCATTTTTAGCTCAAAACTTATCAATTTTTTTGTGATTACTAACGAGAAGAAACGTTAAAAATTCAAGTTTCGATCGTAGCTTTCTTCGAAAATAGTCAAAACGATGCTGACATTTTATGGACAAATCCATTAATTTCGTAAGGGATGATTTAGCCCCTGTTTTGAGTTTTACATCGTTTCCTGAATACATTTCGAGAAAAATAATTATGTTTTGACATTGAACAACTGATTATCGAATAAAGAAATGTTTTGAACACCATAAAAAGTATTAGTCATCTTTTTTCTTTTTTTAAACAGCAGAATTCCAAGAAAGTACACCCCTTTATTACCACAAATGGTGCAGTCCGCTAGCGCATATGGGGGGAAAGCATGCTGAATGGCATGCAGCACCAGTATCACGTACGGCTGGTCGCAAGCGTGGAAGACAGCTTTCACTGTATTTTTACCACTCGGTACCTTTACGTGGGACGTGGTTTGGGTTTGTTAATGACTTTCTTAATTCATAATTCATTTCAGCAACAGATCTCTTCTAATACCAGTACATTAAATACACATTTGAATTTCATTTTTATTCTTCAAGGCACGGCGCATAAGCTGCCCTTTGTATAAGCCGCAGTAAACATTTTCATGGGCAAATTCAACGTATAAGCCGCGGCTTACATTCCGAAAGTTACGGTATTTTAAAAAATTATCGACCATAAATATTTTGACAATAATTAAGATAAGTTTTAATCACTATTTTGTGGCCATTTTTTGTATAGCTATAGGTTCAGGTTTAAATTCGCATATAATTGAATACCCCATTCAATCAGCACAAAAATAATTGGCCCAAAATTTTTTAAAAACTAGAGGTTCGCGTTTGTTGTTACAAATGCAGAGTGGTCGGGTAGACTTTTTTTCTTCAATAAACACTGCCGTGTTAAGTTATGAATATTTTTATATAAGAACAAAGGATCACGAAATTAAATCCTGTCAGGTACAATCAATTATTTTGTGGTAAAGTACAGTAAACATTCTATGTACACAAGTTATTTCTGGCTTGATGACGTCATTATTCAAAAACGGGAAGTGAATACTGATTTAGTTCGGAGTGGATAAAAATTCATTGTGAAGTTTAATGACGTATGAAAGTATAGAAAATATACGTGTATTTATTTATAACAACTAACTTCCGGTTTGATTTACCCTCATCTGAAGTGGTGCATATTACTCTGACGTCATGATGACGTCATCAGGTGTTAAGCGATTTTTGCTTAAAAAGGGTCCAATTACTTTCACCCATAACTCTTGAACAAAATAATCAGTGATGTTTATATTGTAAAATCAGATAGACCATGAATCTATAAACATTTCTTTTTGTTTACGTGAACTCACTTGACCCTTTCTTCCGGGTCAACCGGAAGGTTAAGTTAGGTGAATTCAAAATGATCACTTTAGCCTGAAATCAAAACAAAATTTCTTCCATACGGTTTACGGTATGATCATAAAACCTTGTGTGAACTTGTACCACGTTACGAAGATACTATATATTTTGTAACGTCATCATGACGTTCATCATGTATCAAATTACAAGTGATTTAAGGGCAAATTTTGATGAAATAGTTTGCGCTATATCTTTTGAACTAAATGTAGTATCATGTTCGTTTTTTCGTGAGGTTGTAGACTATGTTGTGAGAAACATGTCTCGTGCCCGGACGTAAAACCGCTTGACCTTCACTTCCGGTGTTACCGGAAGTGCAATAAAAACCGAGTATAACTCAACAGCGGAAGCATTTTACTACACACATAAACATGTATATTATGCAAGTGTTTATTGAGGAATGACATACACAAAACAGTGTGATGACGTCATCTTTCGAAAGGGCGCCCCCAGCGGCATATTAAATAGTGTTTGCTTTCTTTAATTTGAAAACCATCCGTTAAAATTTCACCAAATCGCCCCTTGATATTCTTTGATTAACCACAGATAATTTGGCAAGGTTTCAAATTCATGACGTCATCAGACCGGAAGTTACTTCTATGAGAATTTGAAAATGATATTTTAAATTTAATTCTATCATTTGATTCATGTCGTATATCTTCGTAGCCCAAATAACGATATCCCTTGCAAAGTTCACCTTTTGCTTCCAAATACTGTGGCTGAGTCCAACACCTAATAAATATCTGAAAAATTGAATAAAAACTGGAGAAATTTAAACTGGCAAGAGTTAGAGCAAACAAATATCAGTAACAGTTGAACCTAACTTAATCAAATAAAAACGGATTTTATGGCAACAGAAAAAAAAATAAACAAACAAATAGGCAATGGGACCCATAGACCTTAAGCTGACAATAAAAATATGAAATCACAATAATGGCAATGGAATAAATAATGGAAAAAACACCTTGCCAAAACAAGTACTGGAAGTTCTCTAGACATCATTGACGATGCGCACCCGAATGCTGTGAGGTTATCAAACCAGAAGTTAGGTGTTAGGCCAAAAACAAAATAGTCGGTCTCTGGTCAGACCAAAGTTCCAGAATTGAATTTGTATGCCCCGCGGCGAAGCCGAAGGGGCATACTGTTTCCGCCTTGTCCTTCCGTGGGTGGGTGTGTGGGTGGGTGTGTGGGTGGGTGTTCCTGCATGGCATTACGCCTGAGGACAGACAACAAAAGGAGCACAAAGGGGCCATTGATCCTCGAAGGAAGGTGCCTATTGTCCTCGAACGCAGGTTTGTGTGCTTAGTCTATGGGAGAGTGTTATATTACAGGGACAAAGGAAAACACAAAGCCAATCCTCGGAAGCATAGCAAAAAACGACTGGGTGGGTGGGTGTGTGTGTCCGGACAAATCTTGGCAGCGCGATAACTTGAGAAATACTTAACATATGAACTTCAAATTTGGTTTGTGGATTGTTCTTGGTAATCCTAAGAAGCCTTTTGCATTTGGGGCCGAAAGGTCAAGGGTCAAGGTCACAGTGGCTGAAACAATAGAAATTTTGTCAGCGCGATAACTTGAGAAATACTTTACATATGAACTTCAAATTTGGTTTGTGTATTGTTCTTGGTAATCCTAAGAAGCCTATTGCATTTGGGGCCGAAAGGTCAAGGGTCAAGGTCACAGTGGCTGAAACAATAGAAATTTTGTCAGCATGATAACTTGAGATATACTTTACATATGAACTTCAAATTTGGTTTGTGGATTGTCCTTGGCAATCCTAAGAAGCCTCTTGCATTTGGGGCCAAAAGGTCAAGGGTCAAGGTCACAGTGGCAAAAACAAAAGAAATTTTGTCAGCGTGATAACTTGAGATATACTTTACATATGAACTTCAAATTTGGTTTGTGGATTGTCCTTGGCAATCCTAAGGAGCCTATCGCATTGGGGGTCGAAAGGTCAAGGGTCAAGGTCACAGTGGCTAAAACAATAGAAATCTTGTATTTATTCTGAGATCATAGGGATTAGGGATTAATTCATATAAAACCTACAGAAGACACTAATGCTGTCAATGAACGTTCCATTTGACCAAGGTACATGTAAGTTGATGTTAGAGTGGTGTTATGTCATGGAAACAGTCACGGTTGCGGGGCATTTGTGTTTGTAAACACACCTGACTTGTTTTTTTTTTTTTTTTCCAAGCTTGGATTGTACAGACAAGGTGGGTACTATTTTTTGCTTTTTTTGTGTTCTCATATACATTGGTGTCCTCCATAATTTTCCTTTGTGCCCTCCATCATTTGCTTTGGTGCAATTTCCCCATTCCTTGGTACACAAATTTGAGGAGGTGCGGCAATAAAGGGCGCTGTTGTAGCTACCGCGGACAATTTGAAGGAAAAAAAAGGTTGACGCGCATGATTAAAACCGACGCGCGCACTGACCAGAGACCGACTATTTGGGGGGGGGGGGGGGGGGCCTTATATGCGGATTTTTTTGTTTTGATTTTTTTTCTTTCTTCTTCTTATTGCACACCCCAAGATCCAATAAACTTTTTGCACAACTTTTGAGTGCGACACTTTTGGCTTTCATTTTTGTCATACATCATTCATCGAAGTTACCACAGGCATAGTCCCTAAAGCATAGTTGTGTCTCGAAGAGTGACGTCATGATTATGTCACCATGGGTCATGTACATGATGTCACATTAAAGATTAATAGATTTAATAATTCAAAATCAATAGAAAATCAACCTTAAGAGTCCCGAACTTGAATTTTGCGGGGAATTGATTGAATAATCCAGGATCTTCATTTTATCTCGTGCGTGCCAAATCACGTGACTCTTTCTTCCAGTCCAAACCGGAAGTGCCTTATAATTTGAAATAGGAAAAAGATGTCAACTTGCTTTCAACCATGTTAGTCTCTGGGTAGATTGTACTTCACAAAAACAAATTGGTGACGTCATAAAATGTTAAAGCACCCTCTAGCAGCAGGTTGAAAAATGTTTTAAGTGAATTTTCAATTGATATCTGTGGCGAAGTTTGCAGTTCAAAATGAATATATGATGCCCTTTATGCAAACAAGACCTGTGTGCGAAAGATTGATGGGGATGTCATCAGATCGGAAGTTATAGTGAAATGACCTCTAAGTTTCCTTTGAAAATTCCTGAAAAATTAACCCCGACAGATATTATCTTGTTTGTTGCTTTAAAAGTCAGCGTAAAAGTAGGTCTTAAGCTTCCATGTGTCTCTTGGCAATCAGCGAACTTGGACATGCCCTGCTGCACCCTTGAAATATCAGGCTCAACACCCCTAGCCTTTAAAACGTTCATTGCACAACACTTACGTGGATTGTATGGTGCGTGTACAATGAAAGGGCAATTCCCTAGCATACTGCATGCCATCAGAGATTTTCCCAATACTGAAAGGGTGGTACATAACTTTAGGCAAAAAAAAAACGGTTCTGCTTCCGATTACATGCCTTTCAAAATACTTAATTATTTTTTGGCCATTTTTTTGGTGCTGATTGAATGGGGTATTCAATATGCGAATTTCAGTTTGAACTATTTCCATTTTGGCTACGAATGCAATAAAGAAATTGCCACCAACTGTAATAAAAACCTGCCTTAATTAATGTAAAACCTATTTGAGGTGGCTAATCCTTAAAAATAATGGAGATTTCATGTCGTGTGCACCACTATGCACAACGCTAGTCACAACATGCTAAGAATAAGTTGAGTTACAATGACTCACGAGCTGTCTGTTAATGATGTCACAATGACGTCATCAGTTTGTCAGATTACAAGCAACCAAAGATTTCTAGATTTAATCTTTTAAAAACAATATAAAAGCAACTGTGGAAGATCTGATTTTCTTTTTTACGGGATTTCTTATAAAAATCCAGGGTCTTCATTTTTGATTACGTGCAAAATCACATGACCCTTCTATCTGGTTGAAACCGGAAATGCCTTAATTGTATGTAATTTGAAATTGGTAGAAGATGTGGACTTGCTTTGACCGTTGTGTGTTCAGCTGGAAATGTCAAGTTGTCCATTGAGTCATGTGACGTCATAATGTCATGATGTAGTGAGGGGTCATGTGACGTCATGTGTCATCATGAGTCCTGTGACATCGTCATGATGTCATGGGTCATGTGGGCATTTTTAAGGACCTATACAAAAATGCAAGACCGGTTTGGTTGAAACTTAGTATGTACATACTAAAATTAGGTTAAAATTGAGGTGGTGTCATGATTACATCATCATTGTATAGTCTCTTCAAAATGCATACGTCTAGAGAACTGCAGGGTTTGCCAATCAGCAAATAAGTCATGAAACTTTCATCTTGTATTAAATTCATCATTTGTCTGCTGCACTACACATGGACAAAATAAGCATGAACTTGTACAAAAATCACTTTGCGGAAAAGCCCTATTTTCTGTTCATGGAACAGACATAGCTCAAGTTTTTTGTTTTTTTTCAGTCATTTTGCCCGTAGTATTTAAACAGATTTATTGTGTCCAAGGCACTTTGGGCACTAAATTCAATCCGATTGCCTTTATACTTTGCACACACTGCTAGTCCAGCACCTACAGTTGTGTACCGAATATTGACGTCATCACGACGTCATCATGTGTCACCTGTCATGTCGCCATAAAGGTGCATTTTTTGAAGGTCTATGTCGCCGGAACTACAGGTCTGATTGGGATGAAACTTGGTATGTACCTAAACCGGGATGTATTATAGATAAAAATTGAAGTGACGTCACGACGACATCATCACATGACATGTGACATCATATTAAATGTGCATATTTTGAAGGCCTAAATCTACAGAACGACACGTCCGATTTGGTTAAAAGTTGGTATGCACCAGTGCCGCACCCAGGATTTGGCTGGGGGGGGGGGGGGGGCAAAATTTAAAAAAAAATGTTACCCAAATTTTTGGCCGCAGAAAAAAAAATGGAGTTTTTTGGGGGGGGCCGACTAATTTGACGGCCACATGCATATCACCAAGGTAAAATCGTGGGACTAGAAAAAAATATTTATTGGGTGCGCCACTGGTATACATAGACTGGGATGTGTTACACCGGTACATGAAAATGGAAGTGACGTCATTACGAGGACATCACGTGTCACATTAAAGTGCATATTTTGAAGGACCATATCTACAGAACTACTTGTCCGAGTGGGTTGCAAATTGGTATGTACTTAAACCGGGATGTGGTATAGATGAAAATTGAAAAGGCATCGTGATGACCTCATCACGTGTCACATGACGTCACAATTAAGTTGCATATTTTGAAGGTTTATTTCTTCAGAACTGAAGGTCTGATTAGGTTGAAAGTTGGTATGTAAATAGACCAGGATGTCTTATAGATGAAAATTTAAGTGACGTCGTCATGACGTCATCATGTGTCACGTGACATCACATTAAAAGTGCATTTTTCTATGGCCTGTATCTGCAGAACTTTAAGGAGGGATATGTTGTGACGTTGTGACGTCACCATTAAAGGTGCATTTTTTAAACTATTGGCACTAATCATTATGCAACTTTCTACTGATCTTTGTCCCGTCAGTCTACATGTAACATGACCAGGGTTCAACTTTAGCGGTAGCCAGCTAGCCAAATGCTAGTCAAAACAGGGACTGGCTAGTCAAACTATTCCTTAAGTAGCCTGGATGGCGAGTCAAAAATTATTGGGCTACGGCAAAGATGAAAGGACAGGAAGAAATAAATCATTGAATTCAGGAAGCAAACCTGTATCAATTTTTGTCTAATTTTGTTAACGTTTTAGGGGTTAAATTATTAGATATGTTTAATAAAGTAGTGACAAGATTGCCTCAGGATACATGCTTTACATGTTTGGACATTGTTGTTTGTGAGACACTCTATAATACAAACATGCGGGCCAGTGAAAATGCCTGCGGGCTGGTTAAGAGTCTGTTTCAGTAGCCAGGCTGGCTAGTGAAAAAACCTCAAGGTCAAACCCTGATGACATAAAAATACAACAAATTGCCGAAATAGCCATGTGTTTGTCCACAAACATAAATCTAGTTATATATTTCCAGGTCCTTTCACTTTATTTTGCCTATGTAACCTGCATTTAACTTAATCAGTATTCATCATGCACATTTTAACTGATGACATCGTCATATCAGAAGTAACATTTAAATAGAATTGTAAGGAAATCTAAAGATCCCTAAAGAATTAATAAATGGTTTAACTGAAAAATTTGAATTTAATACTTTTCCTGTTTTTGCATAAAAATATTGACAACTGAACTACACAGTGTCAAATAATATAGTTTCATACCCCATCACCCTGTGTTTATTGCCAAAAACAAATGTGATACGTCTAGTTAATAAAAAAAAAATATTTGGTAAAGGACATTACAGAATGTGGGCCTACATGTTATATGTTGTCTGAGATAGAAGTGAAGTATTAGCACAGATCAGGGCTGTTCATTGCGTGATTCCAATATGGCTGTCATTGACATTAAAGCCATTTCTGATTTTCATCAGCACAATTTTTGAAGGTTTATAACCACAGCCAGGGATAAGAAAATGGATATTAGAAGGAATAGAAGGTTTACGTAGATCTTTGTGATTGCTTTTCAGACTGGACGAATATCTATTGATGATGCTGTGCACTATTCCAGACTACTTGGTATTGTGGCATCAGCAGAAACAGAAGCCCGCACAATTGCAGAGGTTAACAATGCTTTCCAGGACAAAAGGGTATACAACTTTGGTGTATATAAGTACTACAAACATCGTTCCTGTCAGAGACGTATTTTGCAGGTAAGGCCTAGCAAACTCACTGTATACATTTGTTAGCATTATCAGCACTCAGTCACAACCGTGATGGTCTCTTGGCAAAATGACAAATAAAGTGTTACAAAAACTCCCTAGCAACTTTGAATTCTAACTAGGCTGTGACCAACATCCCACTTTGTGCATTTTGTATGCTTGTAATTTCAAAGAACCCAATCCTACACGAACGTGTTTTTGTTCTTCAACCCCATAATCGCATGTCTGGGGATTATGGGTTTGAAGTCTGGCTAAAGTTTGCCTGCCTTAGTGCTATATGTGTGTCGCAGGTCTACCTATTACAATTTACGGGAAAACCCGGCTATTCAAAAATAAAACCTAAGTTCACTGAGACAATACGATTTGCATAAATCATAGAAATTCTAATTAACAACTTTTCATATGAGGTGATAACAATATACACATAAACTTATACCTCACTACGTAAATTAATAAAATATCTCAGGGGTGCTTATCCGAGTCTTTCGGTAGCATAGCTCCTGTGACTTCGCTGAGTTCAGATGATCCAACTTGACGATGTTGGTTCTCGGTAGGTTGGTTCCCCGTCTAATGATCTGCTGGGACCTATATGCCGGTTCCAACTTGGCTAGGACTTCACGTCCTGTGTCGATAACCGTGTCACTGCTACTGATATGCTCGGTGACTGGCACCTACAGACTGTACGTCGGGGTAGCAAACCGGGTCGATTCCCCTATTTTGTTTTATTTACTGTTTATTTCAGTTTTTATTTATTGATTTTTTTTAATCAAATAGTTTAATTGTTTTAGTTTACTAACTTTACTAAAATTAAAACCTGTTTTTGTTTAAATTTGCATATGTATCATGTGGTGTAACCGTGTTTTTGAGGGGTAAAGAACCACAAGTCAACTCCAAATTGTTTTTCATTTTTATTTCCACATCAGGATGATTCACAAACAAGTAAAACTTAAACCTGTTAAATTGACATGGATTAAGCACTCAATTTGTAGTGAACAGTCGCATCTGTTTCTCAGTTCTGATGCAAGTGTGTGTGCATGATATGAAAGGCTTCAGGAAATGATTTGGATTCATTTTTTACTTTGAGCACAAAACATGAAATTGAGCTCCTCGGACTTCCCAGGGGAGCAATTTTGGGTGCTCAAATTGAGCTCCTCGAATTTCCCAGGAGAGCGATTAACTGAGCTCCACGAATTTCTAAAAATGAAGGCCTGATGCCCGTACATTAATCCTCAAAAACAATCAAAAATTAATCACAGCAATAGTGTTATTTATTGGCCTCCGTACTTTTTAATCCGCGGCGGAATATCTGGCTGAATACGCGGCTATCTTTACGCACGTGGCATTGCCGCTAAACAGAAAGAATGCAATATCGAGACGCCACTTCAGCGGTTGTATGCAAAGTCTATGGAGAGTGTGGCACTGTGCGAGCAATTGCCTGTCCGTGTAGAAGACTGTGCGCGCACGGATGATATCGTTTTCGCATGCCACACAATTAACATCCACAGTATCATGGTGGTTTGAAACCTTCCCAGAATTCCTATGTTGTTATATTGTTTTTTACGTGCATTTGAAAAATGGAAAACTTGAAATAAACTCGACAACCAAATGAGTCAGGAATATAAAATTTGAGAATTAGAGACAAAAAAATACACTGAACAGGGCTGCAAAGATTTAAAATGTAAAAAAGGTTTTTCATTTTTTTCATAAAATGTCCCCTACTGACCAATAGGTGACCACTGGCCAAATTCTGTGAACACCTTTTGTGAGGCTCGGTCCAAAGATACAACTGACCAAGTTTTACATTAATTTGGTCAAGACTGTGGGAGAAGAAGCATTTTGTAAATATTCATTAAATGACCTCTACTGATCATTGGATGACCAATGGCCAGATTTTACGAACATGGCTAGGAAGGCATGTGACAAGGTTTGATTTGGCCAAGTTTGTTTGAAATCGGCTGAATACATTAGGAGTTATGGCCAATTTTATATTGGTCACGTGACCGTTTGCCCGAAGAAAGAAAGAAAGAAAGAAATCGGACGATCACAGTATACCAGCTTCGCACGGCTGATATAAACAGACACACTGGACAAGAGAATTAGACATATTCACAGTGATTTTAATAGTTTTCTAGCACGGTTTTAAAATAATTTAAAAAAACACTGCTGCTCCGGCATTCTTGTCCACGTGGCCGGCCGGCATGCCGCTATGCAATTTTCTCACGAATTTTCTTTTGTTTAATTGATGTAACATTTTATTTGTCTGCGCGAATCAGCTTTCCTATCATGATATATGAATTTTCACAGCGATTGGAAACGGCACGCAGCTCCCGGCAAATTGAGGTTTTTGTAAAATCCATTACAAAAATTGTGAAAACTTTCAGAACCATCTTTCAAAAAGTTTGTCTGTGATTTAATATTGTCGTTCCCCGTCAAAAACCAATACAGTCCTTGATCCTGCACTTACGTTGTTCTAAAACAACCGGCAAGTGGCAATGAATCATTGGCTAGTTTCAAAAAACAAATTCCAGGATTAGGCCTAAATATCGGAAAATATTAACTGCAAAGCTCCACATGAATACCATTGCTGTAGAAATATTTCATGCCTAAAAACAGTTGTTTATAAAACACCAGACAAGCGTTAGCAAGGGAAAAATCTTGCGCGCACATGTACTGAGGAGCCGTCACATGGTTTGAGCAAGCCATTTCTCATCTTGGGGAATTCCCTCGTACTTGTAGATGAGCACGTGTTGACTGTACTGAAGGGCCGTACTGTCATTTGATTGACAAATTGGTCGTGTCATTTTTCCTCTTTCCACTGCCCAATCACGTGATGTTTTATGCATGGGATATAGTAGTGGAATCCAGGATAGCGGTTTATCCTGGTTGTCAGGAACACTACCAGAAAGCAGTCATTTATATAAAAGGATAAGGTTGTTGAACATGGGAAACACAAATTAACTGATTAAAATAATGACACAAGATACAGACAGCTCAGTTTATTGAACATTCGAAACAGACGATCGACAATCAGCATTGGATAGTACATAACCCTTGTGAAACGGACGGTGAATTTTATGATGGCGTGTGGTTTGATTTTATTTATTATTTTTTTTTTTACCTCTTCTACCTTTCTTTATGGCCTAACGCAACAAGCACCTACCACTGGTGCATATGCACTGCAGGATTTTATTGTGAATGAGTATTTTCTGGCCATTCCAACCAGATCCGCAATTTGGTGCAACAACAACATTAGTAATCATTATTTACGTCCTGTACTAGACGCAAAACAGCGGCAAACATTGTGTGCTTATGTTTACAAACACATTATTACAAGTATATCACGTCTGCCAACAACCGTACTGTTTTGGAAATTCCCTGGTGTTAAGCGGTCGTTATCAAATGATGTACATTGTGCAAATGGGACCAGCGAGATGGTATTCCGTTCTTTGACTGTGTGTGCTATAGCCGCTCGGCGGGCTGGAGCTATTTTTGCGTTTTACATTTCTAAAATCGCCAGGAGCCATCTGAGATTTGGACTTGATTTGGTTTTGATTTACATACGTATTGCAGCAACATGAGGTAAAAGTTTGGCACTTTCGACAGCAATCAGTAAAGTTGTGGGGGAAAAAACCCCGAAAGTATTGCTGATATTTTTGAGAAAAAAATCGGTGATTTAAAACTGATATCGTCGATATCGCGATTTTTATCAAAATGTATGCGATTCCGATTATATTTTTCCGAAAATCGTATCGCGGCGTCCCACAGTGATGTAGTGACTTGATGCTGGGCCTTGGCCTCGAGGCTCGAGGGCAAAAGCCTTGGCCTTAAGGGATCAGTGCCTTGCAATTTTGAGTCAAGGCTCTTCAAGGCCCATAGATTTTTGCATTTTCCAGATAAATCTGTTTGAAATTTTGCTGTTACCATTTTAATCGTGTTACCATGGAGGAGTGAAACACCTATAGATTTGTGTGTTGGGCACACTTTCACTTTTATAGCATCACATTTTGTTACCATTGTAGTACATTTGCTGCAATAATTTTCTGTACACTTGTGGGGCTAAGGAGATAATCACTTAAATTGTATGATCAATGTGATTGGTTGTATATGTCTCCCTGATAAGTGCTAAAGATTTGCATGTATCTGTTTTAATTTTTTTTATTCTAGATGCACTGTGGTACTGACCCCCATCTACTTAAACACAAGCACATTTCATTCAAAAGTAAGGGGAAAGTGGCCAGGAAATGCCTCAGTACCACAGTGCATCTAGAATAAAAAAATTTCCCTGGGCCCTTAAGCGAGCCCCGGACCCCACGGCTTCAGGGCTTCGCGCTCTGTGCTCGCACATAAAAAGTTCCACTTTAGGATTTAAAGACACCCCCCCCCCCAGTCTGGGATCAGGGAACGGGTCTGAACAAGGTATACGCGGACACGCACTGAGTGTGTACACGCAGTTTTGCGATGAGCAAATGTCCACAACTTTTCAGTATGATAGCACCATATTGTGACGATTAAACTTTTGAAGTTGAACTTATCGCACTGAAAAATTAAATCCATTCAAACATAATTAACCATTCATATATTTGTGGAGTTAATTAGAAATGGAGTTAAAGGGATAATTTTGGGCGGAAATTATCAATTACACTGATGATGGCGCTTTCCCCTCCCCCCTCCCTCTCATTTAAAATGGTCTAGTGACGCCCATTAAATAAACAGTTAAAATGCTCCAATTTTGTGACTTTTTTCCGGCGATATTTCCAGACTTTTTTGTGTTCATGTTCATGGGCCATATTTTAGCTTAACAGCTATAATGATGTAAACTCAACAGAAACTGCTGCCGTAGCGAAACAAATTACAACAATGTTTTCATATCTTTACTTCCTTACGCGCGTGCATGCACGCATCCCTAGCAACTGTGTTGCGTACGCGCGCGTCAGTCTCACGCGATGGGGGTTGAGCGCATGTGCAGTGCTCTATTGTTACAAGCTACCGCA